GTGATGTTTGGTGACAGTGTGTGATGTTTGGTGACAGTGTGTAATGTTTGGTGACAATGTGTGATGTTTGGTGACAGTGTGTGATGTTTGGTGACAGTGTGTGATGTTTGGTGACAGTGTGTGATGTTTGGTGACAGTGTGTGATGTTTGGTGACAGTGTGTGATGTTTGGTGACAGTGTGTGATGTTTGGTGACAGTGTGTGATGTTTGGTGACAGTGTGTGATGTTTGGTGACAGTGTGTAATGTTTGGTGACAATGTGTGATGTTTGGTGACAGTGTGTGATGTTTGGTGACAGTGTGTGATGTTTGGTGACAGTGTGTGATGTTTGGTGATGTTGTGTGATGGTTTGTGATGACATTGTGTGATGTTTGGTGACAATGTGTGATGTTTGGTGACAATGTGTGATGTTTGGTGATGTGGTGACATTGTGTGATGTTTGGTGACAATGTGTGATGTTTGGTGATGTTGTGTGATGTTTGGTGACAATGTGTGATGTTTGGTGACAATGTGTGATGTTTGGTGACAATGTGTGATGTTTGGTGACAATGTGTGATGTTTGGTGACAATGTGTGATGTTTGGTGACAGTGTGTGATGTTTGGTGACAATGTGTGATGTTTGGTGACAGTGTGTGATGTTTGGTGACAGTGTGTGATGTTTGGTGACAATGTGTGATGTTTGGTGACAATGTGTGATGTTTGGTGACAATGTGTGATGTTTGGTGACAGTGTGTGATGTTTGGTGACAGTGTGTGATGTTTGTTGACAGTGTGTAATGATGGTGACAATGTGTGATGTTTGGTGACAGTGTGTGATGTTTGGTGACAATGTGTGATGTTTGGTGACAATGTGTGATGTTTGGTGACAATGTGTGATGTTTGATGACAGTGTGTGATGTTTGATGACAGTGTGTGATGTTTGGTGACAATGTGTAATGTTTTGTGACAGTGGGTGATGTTTGGTGATGTTGTGCGACGTTTGGTGACAATGTGTTATGTTTTGTGACAGTGTGTGATGTTTGGTGATGTTGTGCGACGTTTGGTGACAATGTGTTATGTTTTGTGACAGTGTGTGATGTTTGGTGACAGTGTGTGATGTTGGGTGATGTTGTGTGATGTTTGGTGACAATGTGTGATGTTTGGTGACAATGTGTGATGTTTGGTGACAATGTGTGATGTTTGGTGACAGTGTGTGATGTTTGGTGACAATGTGTGATGTTTGGTGACAATGTGTGATGTTTGGTGACATTGTGTGATGTTTGGTGACAGTGTGTGATGTTTGGTTACAGTGTGTGATGTTTGGTGATAGTGTATGATGTTTGGTGATGTTTTGCGATGTTTGGTGACAGGGTGTGATGTTTGGAGACAATGTATGATGTTTGGTGACAGTGTGTAATGTTTGGTGACAATGTGTGATGTTTGGTGACAATGTGTGATGTTTGGTGACAATGTGTGATGTTTGGTGACAATGTGTGATGTTTGGTGACAGTGTGTGATGTTTGTTGACTGTGTGATGTTTGGTGACAGTGTGTGATGTTTGGTGACAATGTGTGATGTTTGATGACAATGTTTGGTGACAATGTATGATGTCTGGTGACAGTGTGTGATGTTTGATGACAGAGTGTGATGTTTGGCGACAATGTGTGATGTTTGGTGACATTGTGTGATGTTTGTTGACAATGTGTAATGATGGTGACAGTGTGTGATGTTTGGTGACAATGTGTGATGTTTGGTGACAATGTGTGATGTTTGGTGACATTGTGTGATGTTTGGTGACATATGTGTGATGTGTGATGGTGACAATGTGTGATGTTTGGTGACAGTGTGTGATGTTTGGTGACAGTGTGTGATGTTTGGTGACAATGTGTGATGTTTGGTGACAATGTGTGATGTTTGGTGACAGTGTGTGATGTTTGGTGACATTGTGTGATGTTTGGTGACAATGTGTGATGTTTGGTGACAATGTGTGATGTTTGGTGATGTTGATGTTTGGTGACATTGTGTGATGTTTAGTGACAGTGTGTGATGTTTGGTGACAATGTGTGATGTTTGGTGACAATTAGTGATGTTTGGTGACAGTGTGTGATGTTTGGTGACAATGTGTGATGTTTGATGACATTGTGTGATGTTTGGTGGCAGTGTATGATGTTTGGTGACATTGTGTGATGTTTGGTGACAGTCTGTGATGTTTGGTGACAGTGTGTGATGTTTGGTGACAGTGTGTGATGTTTGGTGACAGTGTGTGATGTTTGGTGACAATGTGTGATGTTTGGTGACAGTGTGTGATGTTTGGTGACAATGTGTGATGTTTGGTGACAGTGTGTGATGTTTGGTGATGTTGTGCGATGTTTGGTGACAACGTGTTATGTTTGGTGACAGTGTGTGGTGTTTGGTGACAATGTGTGATGTTTGGTGACATTGTGTGATGTTTGGTGACAATGTGTGATGTTTGGTGACAGTTTGTGATGTTTGGTGACATTGTGTGATGTCTGGTGACAGTGTGTGATGTTTGGTGACATGTTGTGTGTGTATGTTTGGTGACAGTGTGTGATGTGTTTGTGTTGTTTGTGACAGTGTGTGATGTTTGTGTGTGATGTTTGGTGACAGTGTGTGATGTTTGGTGACAATGTGTGATGTTTGGTGACAATGTGTGATGTTTGGTGACAGTGTGTGATGTTTGGTGATGTTTGGTGTTTGGTTACAGTGTGTGATGTTTGGTGTGTGTGATGTTTGGTGACAATGTGTGATGTTTGGTGACATTGTGTGATGTTTGGTGACAATGTGTGATGTTTGGTGACAATGTGTGATGTTTGGTGATGTTGTGTGATGTTTGGTGACAATGTGTGATGTTTGGTGATGTTGTGTGATATTTGGTGACATTGTGTGATGTTTGGTGACAATGTGTGATGTTTGGTGACAGTGTGTGATGTTTGGTGACAGTGTGTGATGTTTGGTGACAATGTGTGATGTTTGGTGACATTGTGTGATGTTTGTTGACAGTGTGTAATGATGGTGACAGTGTGTGATGTTTGGTGACAATGTGTGATGTTTGGTGACAGTGTGTGATGTTTGGTGACAGTGTGTGATGTTTGGTGACAATGTGTGATGTTTGGTGACAGTGTGTGATGTTTGGTGACAGTGTGTGATGTTTGGTGACAGTGTGTGATGTTTGGTGACAATGTGTGATGTTTGGTGACAGTGTGTGATATGACAATTTCGTGATGTATGACGACAATGTGTGATGTTTGGTGACAGTGTGTGATGTTTGGTGACAGTGTGTGATGTTTGGTGACAGTGTGTGATGTTTGTTGACTGTGTGATGTTTGGTGACAGTGTGTGATGTTTGGTGACAATGTGTGATGTTTGGTGACAGTTTGTGAGGTTTGGTGACTGTGTGATGTTTGGTGACAGTGTGTGATGTTTTGACAATGTGTGATGTTCGGTGACAGTGTGTGATGTTTGGTGACAGTTTGTGATGTTTGGTGACAGTGTGTGATGTTTGGTGACATTGTGTAATGTGACAGTGTGTGATGGTGACAATGTGTGATGTTCGGTGTGATGTTCGGTGACAGTGTGCGACGTTTGGTGACAATGTGTGATGTTTGGTGACAGTGTGTGATGTTTGGTGACAGTGTGTGATGTTGGGTGATGTTGTGCGATGTTTGGTGACAGTGTGTGATGTTTGGTGATGTTATGCGATGTTTGGTGACAGTTTGTGATGTTTGGTGATGTTTGGTGACAGTGTGTGATGTTTGGTGATGTTGTGCGATGTTTGGTGACAACGTGTTATGTTTGGTGACAGTGTGTGATGTTTGGTGATGTTGTGCGATGTTTGGTGACAGTGTGTGATGTTTGGTGACAGTGTGTGATGTTTGGTGATGTTGTGCGATGTTTGGTGACAACGTGTTATGTTTGGTGACAGTGTGTTTGGTGATGTTGTGCGATGTTTGGTGACAATGTGTAATGTTTGGTGACAGTGTGTGATGTTGATGTTTGTGATGTTGTGCGATGTTTGGTGACAACGTGTTATGTTTGGTGACAGTGTGTGATGTTTGGTGATGTTGAAATGCTCATGGGATTTTGCCCTCTTTCGGCTGACAACCATAACACCAGTATATGATAAGTATTTTGTCTCTCCAGCCCCTGAGAGCTTGTCTACCCACAGTGGTAGCTGTAATAGAATCGGAGCCTGTACCCCACATGGCTGGTGACTTGTGTATTTGATATGGGCAATGTATCTGCTGTCTTTCACAGCAGCATGGAGTCAACATTTCCTATATATCATTGTACAGTTGGAAATTCTCGGTACAGGGTGTCAATAGCTTCTATGTCCTAGATTAAGATTTTATCCTTTCCGGTGGTGATATCACCTGAGAATTTTAATTGATTTCTTACAACCTGAGTTGCTTCTTTTGGAGATTATATCGTGAGATAGAAAATGTTTTGTAATATTTCATACAACAGTGATTTTTAATAATTTTGTTCCTTAGAAATATGTGTCTATTCATTTAAATTCCTTCCTCCTACCCCTGTCTAAATGTTCATAAGTCTATTTAACAATATTTTTGTCAGTAAGTGTATCTTATGGTGAAATGTGACAACAATGAGATATTTGTGTGTAGCAGCTTCAGTCAAATTAACTTCCACTACCAAGTGTTTGTGTATTGACTGTGTAAGTTATACCATCAAGCTTTAATCACAGTGTATCAGAGAGTTCAATGGTCACGGTTGACTTGATTTCAAAGTAGTATTGCATTTCACTCCTTATTATTATGTTCATGTATAAAATTCCCATAGTTGGAGATTTAAATTATCAAGCATTTTACCTGTAGTTTTATTTTGATGAAAATTTTACATGTATATATTCTGTGTTGAATTAACAAATGCAAATTTGCTGCGATTTAATGGCGCTATGTTTTCAACATAATCAATACAATGTTTATGTTGAAGCACTAAATTTAAAACTTTTTGTTACACCTGTGTCATTTTCACCTGTCCACAGTCTGTCACGAGCACCAGTTTAAGGACAGGTACCTGTTTTATCGGTTCCGCCAGGATGACCAAGGGGTTGGCACAACGCCAAGTCACGCTGATAGAAAGGAGTGTGATGAAGAGCTGCAGGACACACTTCTGTCGCTGGCTCAGATTGGGCCTGACGCGATGATGAGGATGATTCTTCGTAAATCGTAAGTCACCAGTGTGCACATGTGTGCTGTGTTGTGCGTATTGGATTAGACAGTGTCGTTAATGCACATGCTTTACATGACAACATGGCTGCCCTGGCTGTTAGCACCATGTCATGTGGCATCAGAAACTTAATGTTGTCGCCAGTTTTAAATCAGGATACGATGCTGCAACTTGCTTTCGGTAAAAGGTAGGTAACTTACAAGTGATGTGTTAAAGCGATGTGAAGCTTGTTTGAAAAGTGTGATGCTAAAGCACAATACCTAAGGTTTGGAGTAGTCATGGATACATTCATTTTGGTGTTAAAACATCTGATTTTATTTAAAAGTAAGATATTGGTTAGATTTGAAATATGTAATTTAATCAGTTTATTTGAGTAAAAGATATGATTTGAAAATGAATTTTTGGAAGCCAAACATGCATTATTACTATCAATATGTCAATTTTTTACGCGAGAGGGTTTTAGTTTTTGAAAAATGTTTTTAATAGATTATCTGTGTGTGTTTTTCTGAGAGACTTTTAGGGTATTGTAAAATCAATTTGGAATATAACAAACAAATAGGATAATTTAAGACGAGTAGACAGTTTTGTCGTGATGTCCTGATATATTGATTGTGTGTGCTGATGATGTAACTCCGCCATACTCCAATCATAGAATGTCGTTAGTGGCTTGTCAGCACCTGCCTAACCTTACATATAATCATCACTCTATTTACCATGAACATAGCTGTATGTACAATATATTCCTGTACTAACTGATCGTTGGAAGTCAGAAACCCTTTGCACTCTGTACATCTGCATACAGGCCAAAGATATAAATTACAACAGTATTTTGAGCATATTAAATTAGTACACCTGTATACTGACTGTAGGTAATTAGTACACCTGTATACTGACCACAGATAATTAATACACCTGTATACTGACCATAGATAGTTAGCACAACTGTATACTGACCATGGATAATTAGTACACCTGTATACTGACCATGGGTAATTAGTACACCTGTATACTGACCATAGGTAATTAGTACACCTGTATACTGACCATAGATAATTAGTACACCTGTATACTGACCATGGGTAATTAATACACCTGTATACTGACCATGGGTAATTAGTACACCGGTATACTGACCATGGGTAATTAGTACACCTGTATACTGACCATAGATAATTAGTACACCTGTATACTGAACACGGATAATTAGTACACCTGTATACTGACCATAGATAATTAGTACACCTGTATACTGACCATGGGTAATTAGTACACCTGTATACCGAACACGGATAATTAGTACACCTGTATACTGACCACAGTTAATTAGTACACCTGTATACTGACCATGGGTAATTAGTACACCGGTATACTGACCATAGATAATTAATACACCTGTATACCGAACACGGATAATTAGTACACCTGTATACTGACCACAGTTAATTAGTACACCTGTATACTGACCACAGTTAATTAGTACACCTGTATACTGACCACAGTTAATTAGTACACCGGTATACTGACCATAGATAATTAATACACCTGTATACCGAACACGGATAATTAGTACACCTGTATACCGAACACGGATAATTAGTACACCTGTATACTGACCATAGATAATTAGTACACCTGTATACCGAACACGGATAATTAGTACACCTGTATACTGACCACAGTTAATTAGTACACCTGTATACTGACCATGGGTAATTAGTACACCGGTATACTGACCACAGTTAATTAGTACACCTGTATACTGACCATAGATAATTAGTACACCTGTATACTGACCACAGGTAATTAGTACACCTGTATACTGACTATGGGTAATTAGTACACCTGTATACTGACCACGGATAATTAGTACACCTGTATACTGACCATGGGTAATTAATACACCTGTATACTGACCATGGGTAATTAATACACCTGTATACTGACCATGGGTAATTAATACACCTGTATACTGACATTGAGTGATTAGTACACCTGTATACTGATCATGGGTAATTAGTACTCCTGTATACTGACCATGGGTAATTAATACACCTGTATACTGAACATGGATAATTAGTACACCTGTATACTGACCACAGGTAATTAATACACCTGTATACAGACAACAGGTAATAAGTACACCTGTATACTGACCATAGATAATTAGTACACCTGTATACTGACCATAGATAATTAGTACACCTGTATACTGACCATAGATAATTAGTACACCTGTATACTGACCATAGATAATTAGTACACCTGTGTACTGACCATAGATGATTAGTACACCTGTATACTGACCATTGGTGATTAGTCCACCTGTATAATGACCATGGGTAATTAGTACACCTGTAGACTGACCATAGATGATTAGTACACCTGTTTACTGACCACGGGAAATTAATACACCTGTATAGTGAACATGGATAATTAGTACACCTGTATACTGACCATGGGTAATTAATACACCTGTATACTGATCATGGGTAATTAGTAATCCTGTATACTGACCATGGGTAATTAATACACCTGTATACTGAACATGGATAATTAGTACAACTGTATACTGACCATCGGTAATTAGTACACCTGTAGACTGACCATAGATGATTAGTACACCTGTTTACTGACCACGGGAAATAAGTACACACGTATACTGACCATGGGTAATTAGTACACATGTATACTGACCATAGGTCGTTGATATACCTGTAAAATGACCACAGGTACTTATAACACCTGTATACTGACCACAGGTAATTAGTACACCTGTATACTGACCATAGATAATTAGTACACCTGTATACTGATCACAGGTAATTAGGACACCTGTATACGGACCATAGGTAACTAGTACACCTGTATACTGACCACGGATAATTAGTACACCTGTATAATGACCATAGATAATTAATACACCTGTATACTGACCATTGATAATTAGTACACCTGTATACTGACCATTGATAATTAGTACACCTGTATACTGACCATAGATAATTAATACACCTGTATACTGACCATAGATAATTATTACACCTGTATACTGACCATAGATAATTAGTACACCTGTATACTGACCATAGATAATTAATACACCTGTATACTGACCATCGATAATTATTACACCTGTATACTGACCACAGTTAATTAGTACACCATTATACTGACCATGGGTGATTAGTACACCTGTATACTGACCATAGATAAGTAGTACACCTGTATACCGACCAGGAGTAATTAGTACACCTGTATACTGACCATAGATAAGTAGTACACCTGTATACCGACCAGGAGTAATTAGTACACCTGTATACTGACCACAAGTACTTATAACATCTGTATACTGACCATGGATGATTAGTACACCTGTATTCTGACCATAGATAATTAGTACACCTGTATACTGACCATAGATAATTAGTACACCCGTATACTGACCATGGGTGATTAGTACACCTGTATACTGACCATAGATAATTAGTACACCTGTATACCGACCACGAGTAATTAGTACACCTGTATACTGACCACAAGTAATTATAATACCTGTATACTGACCATAGATAATCAGTACACCTGTAAACTGAATATATGTAATTAGTACACCTGTATACTGAATATATGTAATTAGTACACCTGTATACTGAATATATGTAATTAGTACACCTGTATACTGAATATATGTAATTAGTACACCTGTATACTGAATATATGTAATTAGTACACCTGTATACTGAATATATGTAATTAGTACACCTGTATACTGACCACAAGTACTTATAACACCTGTATTCTGACCAAAGATAATTAGTACACCTGTATACTGAATATATGTAATTAGTACATCCAATTTGTAATCCCATTACAGGCAACAGAGGTCCTTATTTTTTCTGAAGCCTCTGCAAGGAACCTGTAACCTTTAGCTTACTAGTCTAACACTCAACTGGTCGAGTCAAACAGAAGTACTCTCTGGTCACAGGGTATACTTTGGCTAGGATTTTACCAAGGTTACATACTCCTTATCTAGGAATTATCCCAAAGTTTTCAGGGGTTATAGCGATGATTGTGAAGTTAACACTTGGTATTCTGACAGGCCTTATATAGGTACCAATGCATTGCTTTACATAAGAATAAACTGCAAGTGAACTTTATACATCGGAAAGTTTGAAACTTCTTCTGTAGTAATAGTTAAGATCAGTGATTTTTTTCCCTTTTCTGATGATATAGAAATACAGTTAAAAAAATCTGATATACTTATATATTTACCATATGTCGTGTATGAACGCATAAGACATTGTATTAAGCTGTTACATAGGACATTGTACTGGTCACCGCCTACTGACCAATACATATAATCGATGACCCTATTATAAAATTGATTACTATACAAAGGTCACTTAAGGTATGAGTAATTAACAAGTCCACTAATGGATTACTTATTCTCAGTAATGTATTAAAGGCTTGTCCCAATGTTTAGCATGTTAATATCTTTTCTTTATTAGTCATTCTCCATAATAGTCCATGATTGGAATTTTTCCTGCGGTCTGTCATTCTCCATAAAGGGCTATGGTTGTAATTTTCCCTTCAATCATTCATTCTCTATAAAAATGTAGGATTATAATTTGTCTTTCATTCATTCAATCTCTATATAAAAATGTATGTTTTTCTTATTTTTTCTTTCATTCAATCATTCTGTATAAAAGTCTACGATTATAATTTTTCTTTCATTTATTCTTGCTCCATAAAAGTCTGTGATTATGTAAGCCTGTTCTTACATGGTCATTTCAATAGAAAACAAGAAAAGCTGTCTGTGTCTTTGTACTGTGGCCCTTTATAGTGTTTCTTGTTTACCTCCTCTTGTTTAATGCTGACATGATTATTTGCGACAGTAAGAATCCTATCAAGGTGATGCCCTTAAATAACAGTTAAGGTGTTGGCGCCACAATGAAACTGGCAATCAGGGTACAGTTAAGACCCTACTGGTCACGTACAT